TATTTGTATTTATTTTATTAGTATAGTTATTTTAGTATATTTAGTATATTTAGTTATTAGTATTTATTTATTTAGTAATGTAATATAAATTATATAAATCAATAATGTAGATCATAGTGGCTCAGTTACTGACCAATTTACTGATCAATTTAGTGGCCAACTGATTGACCAACTTAGTGATCAACTGATTGGCACAATTACTGATCAAGATTTTGGTCAACTTACTGGCCAAATCAAATATTATAAAAAAGATGAATTTTCTCTTTACACAAAGAGAGATTCAGATAATTTTTTAAATAAGATTTGAATAATTCTAAATAGTGAAATTTAGAAAATAATCTCAATTGTAATATTTTTATAATCCTAAAGTAATTGGATTATTGATTTTTTTTTATAATAAACTTATACTTTTATATTAAAACTCTGTTCTTTTTATTAATTTATATTCTTCAAATATAAATTCTGATTTATAAATTCCTGTTATTATTTTATAAACCATTGATAATTATATTTAATTCTTCGCTTTAATTTCCTAAATCGACTTTTAAAATTTAATTGTTAATCAATAGTTAAATTTTATGATCCTAAATTCTTAAATCTTTTAATTAGTTTTTTAGTATTCAACTTTAATATTTTTTTTATTCTTCTTCTATTATCTTCTTCAATTCATAAACTAAAGTAACTATTTATGAGTTATTAGTTGTAAATTGCCTTTTGGAAAATAAAATTAGTTCAAAAGGTTGACTAGTAACAATGGTCTGTTCAGAACAAAGAGTAAAGTTACGTCAATTAGTCCCACTAAATCAAACTCTCATTACACCCCTTTTCGTATTAACTCAATATACTCTTATACGCAATATCTCGTAACACCTACTATCTGCCAGTAGAATCAAGTAGTCACTTGCCTACTTGCAACAAACAGATATATAAAATAAACTCTAACACAGTATATACAGGTGTAATCTGAAGGTACATGAGTAAGTGAAGTAAAAGTATCTCTTTACAGCTCACTATGCAAATTTTCAAATCTTAGCTTCAGACTTTATTCAGTAACTTTATTCAAGATATTAGAAATTAATAATAGAGGTATTATGGGCTGTTAACTGTTTCTCACCAATATTACCATTATCACAAAATAAAAATATTTAAAATATATCAAATTATTACAGAGTATGTCAAAACTATTAAACTTATTGCAAAGATATAACAACAAAAATATATCACTGCTTTGGTATGTCTTATCTCTGTTGCTAAATCGAAACAATATGTTTCTATCTTTATTATTTAATTTTTATTACAAAAATGTGTACCAAAAGATTATTTATTATTTATTACAAATTAGGTGAAAGATTTTCATAATTATTTGAAATGTACCAAAAGAAAATTAAAAATTATAAAAATTGCAAAAATGAACCAATCCCTTTTATATCCTAAATTACCAGTTCATTTTATATACTTTCGAACTTGGTTTCCTTTATCCTTTGTTGTCACATCTAAACATGTCCTTTTCTATTTTTAAAGATGACACACAAGGATGAAGGACAACATACAAGGATGAGGAATCTGTCATCTAGATGGTAACACACTCATCCTGTTAACTGTCATCTTACTGTCATCTCCTGTGACACTTTCAACATTTTGAAATCCCATGCACATCTCATGTGGAATTTGTGCACCCTCAATATGATAGCCCTAGTTTAGGGGAATCTAATAAAAAAAAAGTTTAACAATTTAGATCACTCATTGTGTCATAATTAGCATTTTAATTTTAGCAATTATTTTTGAATTTTATCATCCCACAAATACTTTTGCTAGGGAGTGTATATTACTATATCAAATAGCTAATTGTATATGTAAAATTTTAATAAAATCTGATTTCAACTATTAATGAAAGTATTACCTCCTCATTTCAAAGTCATCCAAAATTTGGTAAATGTTATTTACAGGGTAAAGTTGTTTTGTATAATATGTAATTATATTAGCTTTATATTCATAATATTAATATCCATACTGCATTGCATTTAAAGTATTTATTTTTGAAAAAAATTAATAAATATGATTTAATTAAAAATAAATGTTCCATTTTAATTTCATTACGTTATAAACGATTTATTGGAAGGATTTACTTACCCAAGTTCAGCCATGTCAACTTCGGCTACGTAGATAAGTCAGCTATGTTTTTTTATTGATTAGATTACATTAGAAATTAATATGAACAACCAAAATTGGAATAAATCAGATATACCTAAAATCTATCTGCGTGCTCAACGGCTTCTTCAACTTCATTAACCACATTATCATTGGACAATGCAGTAAATATAATATTAGAGTATTCCGTTATATTGTTAACTTGTCACTAATTTGGTAATATTTGGGTTTCAGTAGTAAACAATTAACGGGTCAAGACTTTTTGAAGATAAAAAATTTTGAAGGTTGGTGGCCATATGAATTCTTAAAGATTGAAAAGTTCATGAATTTGATGCCATTTTGTTTGGTAAACAAAGGAGTCGCTTATTTATAATTATATTTAATTTATTTTAGGTAAAAACTGTGCCAATCATGAGAAAAACTTGATGTCTCAACCTATTGATAATTCAATGAACAATATAATATTTTTATTGATAAAGGGATTTTATTTCTTTTTATAAGTATAAAATTACAAAGCTGTGCAGAAAAAATGATAAATTTAAACCATCCAAATAATAATAATAATACAATAAAAATATATAGACGTTTAATTATTAAATATTATTCTTCATAAGCAGCAACCAACATAGCAGCTTTAATTATTCTTGGTACTGTATACATTTGTTTGCCAATCCAAAGAAATGGTTGTTTATCATAAAAGAATTTTGGATCACACATTGCTTCATCCAAATGGCTCATTAAATAATTTTGTCCCTTTCGTAATGAATTGTGAATATTCATATCTTCTGGCCAATTCATTATACCAGTCTTCAATAATCTTATTATGTAACTAGTCTCTTCCATATTACCTTGAGATATGCTAGATGGTTCACCCCAACTTTCATCTTCATGTTGTGTATTCAATGCCCAATCTATTGATTTTCGACAAAATTCTTTAAGTTCATTAACGGATAAGTTTAATTCTTCAAGTAGTTCGGGATGAGAAATCAAAGATAGTAAGATATCAATTACTTTAAATGTAGTATAAGAAGGACTTTTGTTCCATTTGTCTAACCAAACAAAGTTTTTGGTACGTTGAGCCATAAGAAATTTAATCACATTTAGAATGACTTGTTTAAGTTTAACTTGTTGAGTTAAACCAGTTTTTGTTATAACTGGTACAGTAATAGATGGATTTCCTTGAAGTTTTGCTCTTTCATATTCCAAAAGTAATAATGCTAATGCATGAGAATTACTGCTGCAAGAAAATGTTCTTTCGCCTAATAAATAAATAAACAAAATAAATAATAATTATAATAACGTGATTAAGTTAATATAATATTCACATTTACTAACCAGGAAAAGTAATAAAATGATTGTCATTATAAAATGTTTTCATCAAAACATCTAGATTGAATTCTGATTTTGAGTCAAACTGCCGGACAATCCATTTCGATACAGCGGTATCATCAACGTCAGCAGGTATTCTACTATCCCAACTAATCCATCGAATTTTTCCTCCTTGAAATTTAAGTATTGCTTGTAAATATTGTGCGAAAGCCATATTCTTTGAGAAAAGTTCTTGATCGGTAATATTCTTCTTCTTCAATTTTAATATCAAATCACCTATTGAGTGTAATACCCAAGCGGATTCAAATATTCCAATATCGGAAACTGATGGTACATATCCAAATCTTGTTGGAGGAACTTGTAAAATATTTTCAAGAAAAGAATATGCTTTGTCGTCCCATTGTTTTGCATGAATAAGTACAGCAGCAGTTGCGGCTGCGGATGATCCATAACTTCCATTCAATGCTTGAAAACCTTCGTTTTGTACACGTGAAAAATCGATTACATCGGAAAATGCTTCCAGTGAATAGATTAAAGAAATTGGTTGTCTCATTTTGGCCATTTTAAAGATAGCTTCTAATGGTATCAATGATAATTTTCTTTCATTTGCTTTTAAAAGCTTTTGTTTTTCGGGGAATTCAAATTCAATGGCAGGATAGGATTTCTTTAAAGCATTTAGGTGATACGGAATTATTATTTCTAATAACACCATAATTACAAATTACAAATTATAAATTATATGAATATAAGATAAGATTGAAGACTTTACAGTTTAACTTTCATTGCATATACCTAATCCCACAAGATCTATATCGTTAATATTCCATTCATTTAAACTATAATATGAAATCACGTGATTAAAATAATGAAGAAAAATTATACAAAGGTTAGACTTATTTTTAAGTAACTAATATATGGAATATGAGAACCACATGTCCATGGAGTAATTAGCTATCAAAAAATAACTACTGTATAGGTATATCAAAAAAAAAAAATAACCGTGGATTTATCAAAACGATACTTTTGCATAAATGATATAGAAATAAACATACGTGACACGTGCAAATTCGGTTGCTTTATTTATAACATCATAAAATTGTTTCTATAAAGAAATAAATAAAACGAATAAATATATTGATGAATAAATAAATAAATAAAATAAATATAAAACTTACGATGCTAATTCCAATTTCGCTCAATTTTTGTTCAAAAAACGCTCCACTGCAAGTTCTAAAATGACAAAGTGCCGATAACCCGGCAAGTACTGGAGTAATAGCTCCTGCACCTCGGACATTGCACCAACCACCAAATTCATCTTGATAATCGAATAACCATTTGAAACATTTAGGGAATGCCAAAGAGAATTCTTCGGCGACCGCAGACTCTTTATATGCTTTATTAGGAACCATTGCCAACCAAGCTGTATCGTATGCTGACATTGAACTTTCACCATAACCTGTCCATGTACTATCTCCATATTCATCGATAGTGAGTTTAGCTGGTTCTTCAGGAGATTTGAAAAATTCGGAATGAATTTCATTTCCATGTTCTTCAAGAAGTCCTTTTACATAATTGATTATTTTAGAAGTTGAATTAGAAGAGGAGTTTGTGTTAACATTCTTTATTTCCGAATTTTTAGGTGAAGAACGAGAATATAGTTTGAATTTTTTTTTTTTAAATTTATTCTCAAAATAAGAAAAGAAACTTTTAATTTTAGATTTTTCCATTTTTAAAAAAAATTTTAAAAAAAAAATCAAAATTAGGGAATTCGACAGTCGATGCTTTTTATATTTCTCGATGGTAAAATCACAAAAATCACAAAAATCACAAAAAACCATCATTATCACTCATCACGTTTATGACAAAAAGACTAGTAATATTATAGAATGTGACTATTGGGAGTAATAATGAATATTTATTTAATTTTAACCAAATCAGGAATTTATGAATATGCGCCCAATATTGGGTTATCTCCCCTAAACCATGTGGAAGGATCATAATATTTTTTGGTAATTTTTGATATTCACGTTTACGTTTTTTGGTCTCAAACAAGATACACGGAAATGTACAATATTTATTTCCGTATCTAATCTTAAATTTAGGCGCGGAAAATATATTTCGTTAAATATTTCCCTTAATGGATCGAATTAATTAATGGTAATGTAATACAACTGTAAAAACGAATGGGCATTTATTTATTTTCTATCGAATTCTTTTTTTCCTTTCATTCATAATTTCAAATGTTCCATTTAGATTTGAAAATGCAAGATCTCTAAATGACTCAGTAAAGCTTAATCTTTTTTTTTTTTTACAAAAAAATATTTTTCTTGTGCAAGTTTCACAAACATGATTGTGTTTGAGAGTTTTATCTGTCAATTCTGAATCATTTGTCAGTAATTTCTAATAAAAGAACAATAATTCCTTCTTGTGCTGCATAATAAGATTTTTGGAATATGATACGCTGCTTTCTTCTCCGATATTTGCGAAAATCATTTTGTGGAATAAACAAACCAAGTAATAAAGATAATAAAGAAATATATTTTAGTAAAACTTTAATTTATATTATTATTTTATTATATTTCGCTTGCCAAACATTATTTACGTTTTAGAATTCTGGGTCGTTTATGTTTGACATAACAATCTGTTCCTGGTTTTTACACTATCTTTTAATGCCACAGATTATTAAATGCTAATCAATACTATATATTTTTAATTTGTTACACAATTTTTTTTTTTTTTGATAGTTCATCGTTAATCTCGTTTTTTATATTTGTGCGAATTAATGCATATTGTCGATATATTTTAAATGTTAATGATGTAAATTTACATATTTAATTTAAGTTATTATTTAAAGTACATATTGTACATGACTTTTATGGTTCCATTCAAATTATTGTTATCGTTATCTATAGGTCAAGTTTAAAGTATTAAAAAACGAACTCCGCAATTCCATTATTCGTGATTCTTATCTAATCCTTGACTTATAGCTCGAATAATATAATTGGTTTTCGTAGAAAAACTATCAACTTTTTCTATTAAGTTCGCGTTACCCAACCAAAAATATTTGATAATTTTTTTTTTGAATGAGTTACAAAAGAAGAAAAAAGCTTTGTTTTTTCGTTTGTGAAATCTCGACAACGCCTTATTTATATCTAAAAATGATACAGATATCAAAAAAAATCGCGTTCTTATTGGTTATAAAATTTTTTTTTATCGCAAACTAAGAGAATATCATTATCAGGCGTATCAATGAAAAGTTGTCTTGTGTTACTAAATATTACATTAACTTCGAGCGCAAAAAATAATATCTTTAGCATAAATCCTAATGTGAATTTTTTAAAAAAGGCTAACTTTAACTTGATTTAATGAACTGTTTAGAAATCTTTTCAATATAATTAGCCTTAAAAAAGTTTAACTTAATGCATACTCAAAGTAACTTTAAATTTTGGTATTGGAAAAGTTTTTTGCGTTTGTGATCTAATTCAACTTCTTTTTTTTTTAGAGTGAAAATGATGCACTTTCTCTTCACATTTTGATTATCACATTCTAATTAATCACTAATCACAGAGGTTATAAAAATCGGAGATATCCGAAATTAATTTTACACAAGCAAATGAAATTAATAATCCTTCCGAAATATATAAATAGATTTTCTAATGGAGACCTAGAATATTGCTTTTTTTTTTAACATAGATATCCATGTCAAAATTATGAGTCGAATGCCTTGCCTCTTTTTCTTGGTACTTAGATCTAGTTGACTATTTTAGTGCGTTTCTTTTCAGTCAATTTTTTTAGGTAAAAAGATTTAGAGGGCAAAAAGTAAGTGGCTAAATTAATCGATACAACTTTGTCTTTGATGATCGTGTGTTTATATAGAAACTTATATTAAATAATATTACAAAAAATACAAGTTTTATATTTATTTAATATATTTCTAGCTAATTTTTAAAAAATCATTCTCGTCTTTTTTTTTTTTTTTTTTTTTTTGAAAGATATAAATTTTAAAATGAAAACCTGACACACATGACAATTGTATTTAAAGAAATTTAAAATTTTAAATGCAATAATTGAAACAAAAAAAGATAAATTAAATCTTATAATTATATAAGTGAACTTAATCTCGAAGTCTGTCCCCTAACCCTATTAATTAACAGTATTTTAAATAAAGTTTATCTTCTTGTAAGCGACATGACAAAAAATGAAATTGTTAATATTCTCTAAAACTCCAGTTTTTTAAAATTAAGATTTGTAAATTAAAAGCAATTCTAAACTTTTGAGTAAGGAGCACGTTCTTCTTGATACTAAATGATTGGTTCATGGATTTATTTTTTTTTTTATAAACTAACTTATTTATAATGGAGTCCTTAATTTTTTGAAATTCTTTAAATTACTGATGAACTATTCAAATTATTATGTTGATATATAATATGAATATTAAAAGTTCAAAGAATATTTTCATAGATTTTAGATGCATAGATTATTTTTTGATAACTTTTAGTAATTTTATAATCTAAATATAAAAAAAGTATTGACATATAATTCGAATAGACTTAATTCTGTATATAGAACCTTTTCTCTTCAGTATTAAGCTATCTGCAAATTCTTTAACAATAATGCCAGTTGCTTTTTATATGGTACGTGTATAATATCAAAATTTGAACAAAAAATACCTAATATTAATTGTCTAATTTTGTTAATATGTACTAAAATTTAACTATAAATTACCATCATTATTTCTTATTTCTTAAATAATTGGATAACATTCTAGATATATTGAAAAATATCTACCATTACGTGATATCACAGAAGATTATGTTTAAAAAATCGATTTTTTAACTTCTGTCGCGATTTACGTGACAAGGAGTAATTTTCTACTAATGTTTTTTATGACAGATCAAAAGTTCTGATTCTTGGCTACAAGTTAATATATATTTTATTTCCAATCCGCGGATCATCCGTTCAATCTGTTTTAATTCTTAGTTTAAAAAAATAAAAAAATTTAATAATCGTTATTGCATTTTGAGCGTTTCATTTACAAGCAAATATTAAAACGGTACTAAGTAATCTTAAAGCTAGAGATATAGTACATCTGCAATACAATTTTCAGACCAATTGAAATAAATAGACGGAGAGATGCTCATTTAAAATTCGTACAAATTTAAAAAATTGAAATTAGTATAATTTACTCAATTCTTAACAAAAACATCTGAAACTTTTAGTAAAGATGAGCTATATTATTGGCTTTATTATTACTTAGTACAGTTTTTAATATTTACTTGTAAAATCAAAAGTTCAATATGTAATAATGATTATTTATATCTTATTTTTTAAAGAAAAAGTAAAGCTCTCAACAGTTTGGTTTAGTTTCGGTTGAAACTGAGAACTGAACACTCAAACCGAAACTGAACTGAAACTAAACCAGTTATTTTCTGTTTAAATGATCACCACCAGTGAGCTTTATCAATATCCTTATATTTTAATATTCTTAACTGAATTATAATAAATAAAATTTAAAATAATTTTTTAAACCATATAAAATAATTCTAAATTAATAAATTAAATATTTACTGCGGTAATTATATTGTAATAAAATTTTTAATACAATTACATAATAAAGTTTTTTTAAATTGGGGTTTGTGAAACTAGATCTGAAAAATAATATCAAGCCGTGATATACGATGACGTAATAACTCTTCACCAATCATCCTATCATGATCTGTTAAAAATGATATTTCTAGAGTTTTCCTCATTCTCTTTGCGTCACGATAAAAGCTCTCCAAGTCATTATGAAAGCATCCCATAGTTCACCTATTTTTCTCAGTTTCAGCAAAGATCAAAAATTTTTCGGAATCAATACTACGTTTAATGGCATATTGATAAAGACATTCCATTTTATATGGGTTAGTCCTAGTAATTGGTGAGTTACGGAAACAATAAGACTTTGCCTCTTGAAATTTAGATGAATTTACCTGAATTTCTGACAAAACCTTTTCAGGCAATACACTTACCTCAGTTTCCTCCAAGGTTTTCTTGGTTAGTGAAATATTTGAGTTAGAAGTCTATTCGTTAACATAATTGATGATGTTTTGAATTTGTGTATAAGAGAAATTTGCATTTGCGCTACATGAAACTTGTCTAATTTTTTCTATTCCCACTACACTAAAAAGTGTTCTAATTTTTCTAGCTTTGAAAATTTTATGTCGTAAATTCACATCTATGATGTCAGGTAGAAGCAGTTTAATTTCGTGATATACTAAGCTGGTTACTTTTTTCTTATTGACTTTATTGCTAACAGAAACTCCATTTATTCTTCTGTCATATTTTCAACAAAGTGATATCAATATAAAATTGTATCTTTCTCAGATCGAATTGCTTTTGAAATATGAATACTATGGTCTGCGCTGAAACTGGGGACAAATCATTGATAGAAATGCCAATATCTTGCATTGAGTTTTCATCTAGCATAACTGAACTATTACCTCCAAGTAGTCATAACAATCTTTTGTTATAATTCATGTTCTACAATTAGATTTGTTAATAGTTTATCAGGGGAATCTATAAGTTCAGTATTTTGTTTTGAGATTTTATATCTGAAATTTGGTCAGAAGATTTTCATGATTTTTAATCACAGAAAATTGAGTTTTCGAAGAAGTGTTATTTGGATATAAGTCTTGGGCTTGAAGCTTTTTTTCCCGATTTCTCTCCCTTATCTCGTCACTAATCCTTTCCTTTTCTATCTGATCCAGAAAATTTTCCTTCTCTATATTTTTTACCGATTTAGGCTCTATATAAATAGGTTGATATACATTAGAATTTGTAACATTATCGGATACATCAGAATTTGAAGTGTTGTCAGAAATATCAGATGCCAAAGTATTCTCATTTTGTAGAACTATCCGTTCGGGAGTATCATCAGAATTCGTTCTACAAGAAGCATTAATATTAGTCAAAGATTGTTCTTTTGGAATGAGTATACTTGTTTGATTTCCCTGGTAACGTTATCTAATTTAACAACAAGATTACTGTTCCTTTCATCATTTTTTGTTCTAATTCCGTAACTCTATTTCCAAATTCTTCATTTTCTTTTTCCGACCGTTCTAATTCTATGATTCGGGCATTGAGTTTAGCATTTCTTAACTTCGTGTTTTCAGCAATTTGTTCCAATTTTATGATTCTGGCCATAAATCCCGATTCCTTAGCCTTAAGCCCCACATTCTCAGCCTCAACCTCAGCAAACTTCTTTCTAAGTTCAGTTATATCAATTAAGGGTTTGAAATTTAATTCTCTCAATGGATCATTTGTGAATTGTGTATCAGACATTGTTTTTACATAAAACGTATTTATATTCAAAAGTTTAATCACATTAAAAAAAAATATTGGTGTGTAAAAAATCGTGTTTGCTTTATTAATTGTAATAAAATCGAAAAGAATCATAAAAATCTATCTATTATTTCTATATTATTATCTACACTATAAATTCTTTATTTGTCTAAACTATCTATGTTAACTCATTTTCTCAATAATAATTATAGTCCATTCATTTGTTATCGATATTCTGAATAAAATAAAAAATGGTTATCAGTCATAACTATTCTGTTAAAAATGAATAACAATGTTAACCTCAGCGAAAACCCACTTTAAGTTAATGTTGCCTTACGAGATGCTAATAAATTTTTGGAAATCTGTATGAAAGAATAGTTATTAGTGTATTTGGAACTTTCGCCAAAAATTAAATTATTTCTGATTACGTGAACCAATATACAAACCATATGGACTCATTTTCTTACTTCACGATTCAGCTAATATAGACCAGCCTTTACATTGTAGTTTGTAGCAAAAAAAATATTATATTTTATTTCGTGAATCTGAATTAGCTTATGCATGTGATATAGTTCGTGATCCATAATTACAGACCAATCATTAAATCGAACACGTATATACACGCGTACCGTGAATAATTACTTGACAAGAAAAAATTCACATCGATGGGATTACATAAAAGAGTGGACGTGCGTTAACATTGCGGGATATTTTCGATAGGAAGGCATAAACAGGAATTGTCGAAAATTCTGGACAGGTGTGAAAAAAGAATTTATAAAGGTGGCTGATGCTAACTCTGATTTCGACATGGCGCACAAAGTTAAAGCGCAAGAAATTATCGATACTTGGAAGTTGAGTTATCATTAATGAGACGGTAAAATTAAGGAACTCCCTAGTTTAATACAAACCTTCATCAGAGGGTGCTGGAACTCTTGGTTTTACAGCGGTAGCTTTAGCTCATAGCTGAGGTGTGTTGAGTTCTTTGACCTCAATTCTTAGTTGAGGTGTTGAGCTCTTTGGGAGGTTCTGGAACTCTTAGTTTTACAGTAGTAACTTCAACTCATAGTTGAGTATTGAGCTCTTAGCTTGAATCTCCCATTGATTTATTGGATCATTTCTGATAGGAATTTCTTATGAATGATTTTACTAATACTGTATTTGTCAAGGATTGGAGTTCCCCGGTGAAGAAAAAGAAACTGATATAATTCAACACAAATAAGCAGAAAGATTAAGATGATGCGGGTGGGTTGGATAGTAGGACTCTTAGCTTATAAATAGATTTTTACCACAAATAATGAGGAATTTCCTTTTTATTAGACAAAGCAACAATTTAATGCAGTCAAGAATTCTGTAATTCAAGTTGACTTATTTCAAAACAGTTTAATGAGGACAGCCGAAAAAGATCCTTGGAAAGCTGAGATAGTGATGAGGATCAGTCTGATGATGAAGCGCTAATGACGAAGAAGATGAGATCAGTGGTTCTATAATGGTCTATGATAACAAATAGCCCACTAACATGTTCCATTGGATGTGCTAGAACAAAGCCTGTGAAGTCAGTTTTTTACCATCCGTTGAAGAAATTTCAAAAATAGCCTCTACACAAGATTTAATCGATCATTTAAGAAAAACAAACATAGGATTAACGGATGATGATACAAGGTTCTCAACGACCATGGAATAATAGGAATAACTTTTCTTGAGGAAAAACTCGAAAATCGTGGTGTGAAATAGGGACCAGCAATGAGCATTACTTATTCAGTTAATAAGATTCGGGAGCAAAATTTGAGTGAGTAATTATAATATTAATTATGTCGAGAATATGGTTTTTCCTAATTTTATATTATTCACATATTTATTATAGGTGTTAACAAAACCTGGTGCCGATGAAGTTGAAGATGTGCCTGGTAATTATTTTTTTTTGTTCTGAGTCGTTTCATATTTCAACATAGAAGACGGAACTTAACAGAAGATCATATGTAAACCAGATACACTCCCCAACCATTATAAAATCTACTTTCGATCAAGAAAAATTCCGTGAAGAAATTATTTCTGAAGTTCATGCTGAAATTTGTGTGGTAGTAAAATGTTCTTAGAGATCTATTAACTAATACACAATCATAATTCATTTGTTTATTTGTGTGATGCTCACAATATTTGTGATAAAGTACATCTATTGACCTGCAATTAATCTTCCGTTAACCCCTACCATTTAGATTAGAAATTATTTCTTCCGAAATATTTACTACGGAAATATGTGACGTTATGAACTCGCCAAGCTCATGCCTAGATTTGTGTAATTATTTATACTCCACCGACAATGAGAGAAGCGATTTGGCGGGATTTTGTATTGAGAAAAAATTTTTGTATAAAACACCACCCGTATGCCATTTCCCAAGTTGTAGTAAAAGTGTTAAAAGAAACTTTAAGACGAGACTCAACATCTTCTCAATCAAGCGGAACTATTCTAGTTACTGAATTTAATCGTAATATTTGAATTACTTCTTCGAGGGTTTCCTCACAAGATCAAGATATGGAACTGGATGGGAGTGAAGAAACAGAGCGACGAGTTATTGAATCAACTACTAAAACTTCAATTCCGCAAAAGCATTCCTATGAACATTCTCTCCGTCCTGGGTATGAAAATAAACTACATATGTTAGAACATGTCACCAATTATTGCGATTATGAATATTAGGCACTAAAACGTTTGTATGAAGTTGAAAGAAAATATGACTCATTTGGTGTTATTCTGTCAAATATAAGGATGCAAAAGTAATAAATTCTATAAAGGTTTGTTAATTAAATTTTTTTAAAAAAATATTTAATATTAAATTTTTATTAATTAAAGAAATTTTATATTAAATTATCAAATGCCAAAATAAATTTATTAAGTTACAACTTAATTAAAGATGGAGCAGGAATTAACATAATTTGTATAAGAGTAAATATATTGTTGATTTATTTAATAAATTAAATTATATTTAAATAATTTAAGCTAAATTATTTATTATTTATTTAGAGAAGAATGTGATCGAAGTTTTAAGCAACTTCATTTAAAACAATAATTATTAATTGTTATAGTTGAGGATTATGTCATTGAATTAAATAATGAGACGTCACTTAAAGATGAAGGTAATGTTTAAATCAATTTTATTAATTATTAAATAAAATTAACTAACGAATTTATTATTTAATTTTAAATAAATTTTATGTTATAGCTGAGATTATTTATGTTAAATGTTCAAAGATCAGGTGATTTTTTAAAGCTCAAATAATTAAGTAAATAAATTATTAATCAATTAAATTAATTAAATTAAATATAAATTATTAATTAATAAATATTCATAATCTTAATTATAAAGAATTAATCTTAAATAAGATTGAAAAAATTATAAGCGAAAAAACCAGATATCGTTATATCCTCTAATTCTCTAATAATAATTTATTTAAAAATCTCTATTAAATATATATATATAAATTTATTTATTTATTTTGAACTAAATACAGTAATTTAACAAGAATCAAAGAATCTAGAAGGTAATTCTTGATTAATTATATATATATATATATTTATTTATTTATTTATTTAATACTAATGTAATAATTTAATTTACACGCTAACCATTAAAGTGGATGATGGGTAAGTTTGAATTAAATAATCGTTATGGTTTTTTTTTAACTCTCTCTAAATCTTATACATAAAGATCTTCGAGCGGTGGCAAATTTTGATCCTGGATTTGACTTAACAAAAAGAAGAAAAGCTCGAAATATACTTGATTACTAGAAAGTATGTTGCTGTTAAAGTAGGATGAGCGGGTTAAGAGCTCTTTGTCTAAACAGTGATGAACTGTAGGTTCGACACTTAGCGTAAGCTGGGACCGCAGGTCTCCAGTGATGAACTGTAGGTTCGACGCTTAGTGCAAAGATGGCCTTAGTTCACTTGCTTCTTTTGTTCTATGCTGTTATTGTGTTATTGTTTTATTTTTAAATATTTCTAAAATACTAATTGTTCTTTGTTTCGTTAAGAGCTGGGCTTCGTCTATAAAAAACTTTAAAAAAGATTGTGCACAACTAAAAGTCGATCGTTCGCAGATAAACCAACTTTCGACCGGAGATGCACAACGTTGTACAACAACTTTCACGTAATTTCGGAAAGGTATCGTCGAGACAATGGAGAAGAAATATCAGATGAAAGGAACGAAATTATTTTCCTTTCAATTTAGATAAAATCAACTATTTTCCAAACAAAGAACAATTCAATACTTCCCAAGTATAATGACGCGAGTAGTACAGATTCGGAAGATGAAATATTAGAAAAACTTACAAAAGGATGTTCTAAAAATGGTGGCACAAATAAAAATGCGGACGTATTGGTAAATATTCAATACCTTGAAACATTTATCGATGCAATTACAATCAGTCACGCAATCAAAATATGCATTTTCTGATTATGAATACATTACCTTTTGTGATTTCTTTTAGGAGAGGGAATGTTCTACGAGAAAACTCAGAGATACTACACCTGTTGATTACAATCACGATTTGAGTGAAACTTGCTTTTCTGATTCAGATCATGTAAGTAATATACCAATGCAAATATTGGTATATAGATTAATATTAAAAGACGTCTATTTAAATTTCGGCAGGAGTCAGATAGAAGAAAACAGAGCGAATTGGATGATTAAAGTGATGTAAGTTGATATTAAAAGGAATTATTATTAACAAAATGCCATTAATGACTATTTAATCTAATCGGTTCATTTCACCACTTTCCTGTAGTGCATTAGACCAAATTTTTTTTTACTTTTAATTTATAATCAATAATTCTTTAAAAAGTTACTTTATAAGAATTCATTTTATCAAAATCAAGAGTTAACTTTTGAAAAGATTATAAAGTCCCTTAGAAATTCCAACACAAATAAAATCCATTGTGAAAGATATGATAATTATGTTGAAATTATATACAAAACATAGGTATTTTAATATTTTTTTTTCTAAAATAAACAATAATAATAATAATAATAATCAATATTAATAATTAAATTAATCAAGCTCATAAAGAATTTGAATCTAACATGATTTTAATTTTAAAATGTAAAGAAATTTTAAGAACGAAAGTATTGATCTTAATAACTTAGAATGGTATCCCATCGTGATCTTAATCACAAAGAGTAAAGTCGAACTGTTGTTGTAGTAAATTCAGGAAAATACAAAATATTTTCTGAAAATTAAATTTTTTCATGCGTTTAGCTTATTACAATTCAATTTTCCAACTTAATTAGAAAATTCTATTTATAAATAAATAGAAAGCATGGATTTTGATTTCATCAAATGAACCTGTCGAAAAAATTGAGCGAATATATATATATTCTTTTCATTTAAAATTTCTTCGAATTTATATTTTGTCGTTTATATAAAAAAAATATCATTATAAATACGACGAAAAATTAGAATGTGTAAACAATGAACAAATTATTGTTTCTTTCCTAAAAATTATCTCGTAAAGATCAAAATAAAAATAAACTAAAAAATTATGTGAATAAGAATTCCAAGATCTTATTTGTGAACTTGCCTCCACTAGAACGCATTTCCCGATGCACTTTAGTTGCTAGTATTTCTGAGACACCGAATTTTTCTGTAAGGAAGAGACAGAGAATTGGAACTTAACGCGAAACGGTAAATTAATAATTATATACATAATAATCGGGTAAAATTGTCCATTTCCGTTTTATTTTTTTTTTGGCGAATTAAATTATGATGTTGTGTTTTTTGGTGGGCTTCATTAACAAGTCATAAATTCTTAGATGGCATACCACGTATATATATGTATTATCCAACTAAACCACCACCAGATGAAACAAAAACATATGATTTATCTAATCTGCCAAAAAAAAAAAAATCAAAAGAATAGAAAATGTCGATATAGGTAAATGTGACTATTATAATTTTATTTTTATCGTTATAAAAAATAATTAATAATTACTCTTTAAATGGGTGTTACAGAACGTGGTGAAATCTTTGAATTAAAAAACAACCATTTTCCTAGTTGCTTTTCGGTAGATATTATGACATAATATATATAGTAGGTAATAATTTTGGTCGTTCTATCAAGGAATGTTTTATTCTTTATTATAAAGTTATAAAACAGAGGAATGGCTTCTTTGATTACTTTATATTCTCTCTCATTAATCAAGAATCGATTACCTATAAAGTATCTAGAGGGTTGGTCTTATTTTTATCAAGGTTGTGAAAAAAAAAATAAAATTACTTTTACAAAATCAAATAAATTCGAAAACTATTGTTTTAAATATTATAAGCGGTATGCCATAAATTATCAAATATGGTTTCAGAATACTGGGCAACGTGACAATTTCCTATGAAATGTCTGAAATTCATTTGACCAACAATATTTATTGAATATTTACAAGAATACAGAAACATTTGAATTCTGTGAATCAATATTATGATGAAGAGCTCTAAACATATACTCTTAATAGATCAGGAATTAAAAAAAAATAAGGAATCATTTCTCCGTAAATATACATAGCAGGAATGTACTGTATGTATTCTTATAATAATTAAAAATATATATATATTGGCAATGTGATGTGATAATTAAACATTTTGTGTAACGAAATAATAAATCATGAGAAAAACAATAAATTATAAGAGAATAGACAATGAACCCAATTTTGTGATGTACATAATGCATACAATGCAACAATGACATCACATCGAGGTTTCATTATCTAAAGATTTTCTGAATTTGAACCAAGATTCTTGGATTGTTTCATTTAGGAAAAAAGTGATAATCTTTAATCGGTATTATCATTTATTTGTTTTTATTTTTTATTTTGAATTGACATAATTGACATGTGGAAAATTGTAAATGAAAGATTAAAATTTAGCTGAATCCTGAAAAAATTAAATTTAAATTATTTCCCGTCCAGCTAAACTCGATCGAATACTAAATTATGCTTAAAAATAAACTCCATTATGCTTACTCGTTTTTATTGACAGTTACTTAATTTAAAAATACCCTTATATGTAACAGTATTTACATCAATATACTGTACATGTATATCTGTATATACATTAATTATTTGTATAAAAAAAAATATTAAAAAAATATAAAAAAAAATATTAAAAAAAATATAAAAAAAATATTAAAAAATATAAAAAAAAATATTAAAAAAATATAAAAAAAAATATTAAAAAAATATAAAAAAAAAATATTAAAAAAATATAAAAAAAAATATTAATAATATAACAGATAATAATAATTATTATTATATAATTTATAGTTATTTATCACATCAATAATTTTTTTTTTATTTTCTAAAAAAAATAAATATTAATAACAAGTAAATATTTAAATTATTATTTAAATATTTTTCCAGAAATTGAAGAAATTCTAGAAATTTATACTTGTTAATCGAATCAAAGCATGTTGTTGGAATAATTTTTGCATTTTTTATATTAACTTTTATTTTCTTTATTAATTTTATTTTCATTATATATATTATTATTTAACATTAATGAAACTAGTCAGTATTTTTTTTCAGTACCCATAATTACGTTTAATTTAATATGTTTATACATTTATTTTTCTATTAAATTATAACTCGTTTGTTCAATTTTAAGATTTTGTTAATTTAATAGCTATTGTTTTCGCGTGAAACTGACAATTCAAAACTTTGATGATAAAAAAAAAATAATAAATAAATCAAGTCTTGTACCACCAAAAAAATAGGGTCTCCTTTTTCAAGATTTGGCTTAGAATCAACTTAACATATTAAGAGCACCATAATGGTAATGGATTGGAGATACCTCAATAACATTATCTTTCCAGAAAAGAGTATAATGGGTAAATGTTTTGGTAATCTTTTACTCATCTCTAGAAACAAAGTATATAAAAATTACGATAACGATAACAACAATGTAACACATTTTATTTAATGATAAAATTTTTAACCAATCACATTTTATATTTCATGTTATTACCAAATTTAATAAATATTTGTTTTTTTAATTAAAAAAAATGTAAACCTCTACAACTCCATTATACCAAAGAAAAAAAATTTATAATTAGTATATTCCAAAAAAAAAAAGCCTAGTTAATAAAGAAAGTTACATATATTTAAATTATACTAAAAGTCACTATTTTACATATATATTACTACGTACTAAAAAACTATAATATTAAAAATAAAAATACAAGTATATAAAAGAAAATTATTTTAGAATTCTTAACAATAATTGGGATAAAAATAAAGATTTTGAAGGCATTCAGGAAAATATAATTCCGGAGAATAAACCTCATAATTTTGATGTTCATTAATATAAGGAAAATCTAATACAAATTGCGGCGGTAGTTGTACTGGTTCAGGCATTGGTTGAGGTATTGGTTGAGGTATTGGTTGAGGTATTGGTTGAGGTATTTGTTGATTATTAAATTGTTGTTCTCGTTGTTCTCGTTGTTCTTGTTGTTCTCGTTCTTGTTGTTCTTGTTCTTGTCGTTGTTCTTGTTGTACTTGTACCGAGGAAATATCATCCTGTTGTTCAGATTCGGAATTGGCATTTGGTGAAGAGGATGAGGAAGGGCCATTATAGTGAATAAAAAGTTCTTGAAACTTTCTGTTGATCGGCGCATAAAAAAAGTCTGGATGTTTTTTTTTATGTAACCGTCTTGCTTTTTGGGCAAGGATACAGAAACTTTCCTTTTCTTTTTTTGAGGCTTTACTCCAAATATGGCCTGAAACTCTTGTTACTGATTTCATGTTGCCCTTCCATGGTATGTTCGTATTTTTAATTAATTTGGAAAAATTTTTTTTGAATATCATGTATTGGTTCCATGGTCGTTTTATTTTTCTTCTTGGAGAAGTAGAGTTAGCAATGATTTCTTCTGCTGTGACTAAAATCTTATTGAAAAACGTTTTAGGTTCCAATTCGTTATATAATTCTTCGGTAACATTATCTATCATTATTAAATTTTTTTTTTTTTAAAAAAAAAAGAATGAGTTTTGAGTTTTTTTTTTAAAAAAAAAAAGAAAAATGGGGTCTTATATTTATTATTTGTGTTTTGTTAATATCTAATTTCAGTTTATTATTTACTTTCATTCATTCATTACATTATACTTTATTTATTTATTTATATTTATATACATTTATATATATATATATAGATTTAATTGAATGCTGTTTATGCACATTTACGTTTTAGAATTAGTATTTTTTTCTGTCACTTATTTATCCCAACTATCACCCAAATGAAAAATTTTTGAACTCAAAAAACTATAAATTTATTTTGTTTGTTTTAAGATAGAGCTTTTTTTTTTATAAACTTTACATTTTTCGGGATAAAAATCATATGCTTCTCATGAGAAATGTTATTCAAATGAAATATCATAATGAAAACAATAAATCTTTTTAAAGAAAACAAGAAAGATCACTTGATCTAAAGCTGAATAATGTTAGTAATTCGGAAATAAAGAATGTTTTTTTTATTTACGCCTATAGTGTGACAACTAATTTCAGAAGTGTCTCGGTAAAGTTAGATATTAATAAAGAAATAATTAAATAATTAAATCTAAGATATTTGATTTATGCAAATATGGAATATATAATATATGTACACATGTACACAACATTACTTATAAAAAAAAAAAAAAAAAATTTCTTCATGAGCATGAGTTGCAATATTTTTCCAAAGAATAATGTGTACGCCTCATCATTAAATCTACGGATTTCGAATTCCACTGCGCCAGCGTTTATACATATATATATTTATTTATTTATTGTATATACAAATATAAACTGTATATATGTGTCATATGGGTCAAAACTTTATTGTTTAACCTCATGATGATTATGATCACAATAAATAAATGATCTTTCGTTGAACATTTCTAAAGAACTTTGTTACGTTGATCAAAGAATGATCTTATAGTCATAACTAAATGTAGTGCATAAAATTTGAAACATGGAGTTCGGAGTTCGGAGCATTGCCATTCATCATAGTAAAAGCGTTTTTGGATTGTTCATCGTTACATTGCGGAGAATTTTGCGGATAATTTACTGATAATTTAATGAATCATTAAATCATCATAAAATTATCCTTAAAATTCTCTGCTCAACTTTTTATAATCTAAAAGTAAAGTGTTTTTTTTTTTTTTTTTTTTTTTTTTTTTTTAATAATATATCGATCTTGCCTCTCACGTGTTTTATTATTTTTCTGACATAAAAGTAGACTTTTAAGCAAAACGAGTTTAAAGTAGTGATCATTAATAAAATATTGTTCATTGTTAAAGTAGTTGTGTTCATTATTTGTTCATATTAAAAAGGAGGAAAAAAATATTTTTATAATGACAAAATTCAATTTAAATGTTCAACAAAAAAAAGAACATAAAGTGAAAGAAACAATGTGGAATATATTATTTAATAATAATCTTCTCAAAACTCAAATATATTTATAAATTGTCGCAATATTTTTTTTTTCGCGTCAAAAGTTATCTTTAAAATGTTAAATATGTATAATAGTATAAATAATCTACATAATTGTATTAATCATATATATATATATATAATTGTGTACATAATCGTTTATACAATCGCTGAATGACGGTTAGTAGAAAAATTGTATTTATATATTTATATTAAGGGCCAATTATCGTTATAGTTTAAATAATATGCGTTGTTAAATAAGTTATAATCAATGTTATTATTAAGGACTGGTTGTTGTGGTGGTGGTGGTGGTAGAAAAACTGGTGATTGAATATACAAGTAAGAATTCATTGAATTTATCTCTTCTAGATTATTATTATTTTCCGTATAATGATTTGTTATTGTTTGATCATTCTCTGCCAATATTTCTATGCGAGATCTTAGTTTTTTATCAGGACTTTGAAAGTTATACTGTTTCCAAGCGGCCTTTAACCTTTTTGGTTGATATTTATATGTTGGATTTTTACTTCGATGTATTTCAGCAACTTCTTTAGCGAATTTTGAGTATTGTTCCTTTTCTTCGGGAGTCAATAATAAATTCCAAATACGACCGAGATGTTGTGAAAAATCTCGTTGATTGTATTTTCTTAATTCTTTAATACGAACCTTTTTATCATGCGCTAATTTTCTAAAGATCATAAAATTATTACATGGACGTTTTATGTGTCCATCAGAAGTTTTTGATGGGTTTTCACAAGAAAATTTTTGAGGAGAACATGACAGCGGAAATAAATTTAAAAGTTCTTTAACCTTTCTTGTCGCTTCAAGAGATATGTTGTTACCCTCATTTTTAATCTTTTTTGTTGTGGTTTTAAGAGTTAATTCTTTCTTGTCATTTTCATTATTGATAATGGAAGAAATATTATTACAAGATGGAGAAAGCGATTCCATGACAGTAGAAGATGTTTTAAACTAAAAATGAAAAAAGTAACAACAGCAAGAAAGCTTTTAATTCGCGCTTTATTTATATGTTAAGTAAACTGCGGTTTGTAACTCATTTACCAAATCTCCTAAAAAGAAAATAACACCGGAATATCGCTCCGATCCAATAGAGATTTAAATATAGCTTACAATACAATCGAATATTCTTTTTTTTTTATAAATAGGTATATTTTCTCCCTCGAATTTTTAGAATTATGAAATCATTGATTTTTTTTTGTACAACGTTCTATAAAGAATGTAAAGAATATGTGGAATATGTATTTATTACGGCTTTGTGTTCTAGAATTTCTATTTCCTTTGGTGTAATTTCTAAATTCTATGAATTAATATCCGTATCATTACAATCCTATAATAAAAATATTATTTTGAGTTCTAGAAGTTAAAAGGAAATTTATCTAATCTATTTTTATATTTTCTCAATTTGAGTGGTGTGCTGTGCCCAATATGATTTTGCGTAAGGGATCAAATTATTAATTAAATAAAAATTATAATAAATCAACAAAGGTTAAAAACAATATTAAATTTCTATTACATTCTTATATTTCCCAATTTAAATTTAAATGTTAATAATTCAATTGAAAAAAACCAAATAGTTATTGGCTAAAAATTTTGCCAATCTTTTAAAGTTTAGGGACAAAATAAAATAAGAATATGCGGTGGCACAGACATAAGATTTTTTTTTTTAGGTTTTTTTAAAGGTAATTTTAAAATAAACCGAAGATATTGTAGGTAAAAATTCACTCCATATTTCGTGATATCTTTGAAATAAAGTTCGATTATGTACAACTAATTTACGATAAAGACCATTTCTTATCTAATTTAATTGAAGATTAAATAATTTGAAGATTAGTAAATAATAAGTACAACTTTTCCCCCAAAATTTTTTCACTAATGTAGACTTTTCACATACATGTTTGTCGCATCTCCCCACAAATAATACTTAAATAGTAAAAAACTTTTGATAATGCCATAAATATTTACCAAAGAAAACTTTTTTTTTTTTCGACTTTTCCGAATTGAAATCTTTTCATTAAATTTCTTACCTATCATCTATCTAATATTTACTTATCTATAATAAAATTCTCTGGATTTAACCGACAAATTATTTTAATAAACTTTGTACTTCTTGTACTCCTTTAAGAGACCGAAATTTAAAGGCATATATTAATTTTTCAAAATTAATAGAAACTCTAAAAGTGAATAAATTTAAATTCATTACAAATATGGAAACCTTTTAAAAAAAATGAAAAAAAAGTGTAGAGTCTGTGCACGTATTTGATACTAAAAAATTTGTAATTATGAAAACTTTATTTTTCTCGCATTATGACATATAATTTATTTATCCATTTCGAGTAATCTCATAGTAAGTAAAGTATAAATAATTAATTAAATGGTAAACGAAGTTAAAGAATTAATTAAATGGTAAACGAATCTGTTTCAGCATTTCAAAGTTTCAAGAGTTTCAGATTCCGTACAATATTGAAATAATAAAATATTTGTAAAAGAATGTATTACGTTTTTAGGTATCTATTTTAATTATGGTGACACAATAATAATAATAATTAAATTATGCATAACTGTTCGTTTACACCAAGATAAAAGAAATTACGTCACATTTTGTCGCATGATGTTCTTTGTGGAAATGGAAATTTTCATTTTTCTTCGAATTCATCTTCAGAAAATATTTGAGTAACAGAACATTTTAATGAAATAATGAAATAAAATAAATTGTAAATTTCAGCTTCGGAGAGCGGATCTCCATGCATTGATTTACACTACCATTTTTGTGTAATATTCTAGAAATATGATAAAGTCTTTCTATGTGTCACAAGTAATTTTTTATTTTGTTAGAATTTCATTAATATTAATAACTCTGGAATTTTCTTAATCAGTGAAAAAGTATAAATAACGACGTTCAACTGGATTCCTTTTTGTCAAAAAAAAAAAAAAATCAATCAATCTTAGTTAACACTTTACCACAGAAACTCGAAAAAAAAGATATAAAAGCTCCCTCCTCCACATTTTTCAACAACTGAATCATTAGATTAAAAACCAATTTTACATTCGAGCATTCAAATTTCCTCATAATCCTTATAATCCATTATTATTTGATTTCCTATCATTCCTATATTCCGAAATTTCTATTATTCGCCCCTTTTTTTTTTTTGACAAGATGCCCCGAAATAAGAAACATTTGGTCAATTTGGTCATAAAAGAAAATAATAACTTTAGAAATAAAAATTGCTCGAATCAAAATACTCCTTACAAATCCTCTGTGGAAGATGAAAATATCAAAATTCAAGTAGAAAATTTCGTCGCACAAGTCGATTTGGAGAAATTTTGGAATTGGTGCCATTTGAACCATGAAAAGCCGATCTTACCTAATAGATCTGGTGAAAATTGCCCCCGAGCTGCAAATAGTTTTTTTCAATTTAAGCGATTTGTGGCTCGTTATACCAAAGAACATAAGATTCGTGGCCATAATAATCAAACTATTTTGTCCAAATCCCAATCTATGCTTTGGAGTAAGATTTCGGAAGAGCAAAGACAATTTTTCAAAAATTTGTATGAAGAAGCACTGAAATTCCAGAAAGAGAATTATCCAGAGTATGCTTTCCATCCAAAAAGACAAAAATCTGAGCTTAAAATCAAGTCAATGGGTAAAAAATCGAAAGATGCAGTTGTTGAAAAAAATGAATATGAGCAGATGTTCGATCTTGCTCCTGCAAATCGAAACAATAATCTGGGGGCAGCTCATATAAACAAGGAGGAAGCAAATATTTTACCTAACACCAACTCTTACGACTTTTCCGACGTCAACACAGCTGGACCAAATAGTGTTCTTTTAGACAATGGAATCCCAAGTATTTCTGTCGTTTATGTTCCTATGGAAAATGAATCATTTACTTTCAGTGGCGCATCATCTCCATTTACTTTCAATGAAATATCATCACCATCTCCATTTGCATCACAATTTGTTTACAATGACATATCATCACCATCTGGCTCTTCATTTGCTTTTAATGACGTATCTTCACCATCTAGCTCTTCATTTGCTTTCACTGATGTATCATCACCATCTAACTCTACCTCCACTACCTCCACTCCAATTTTTTCTTCTCCAAGTCCGCAAATGGATGGAAATTCTTCAGGTACATCTACAATTTCAACTCCAATCTTCCATTCTCCAAATTGTAATTATTTTTCAGATGACCAAGGAAACGGTCTTGAAATTTCATTATCCGAATTACAAGAATTACAACAATTAGAATTACAACAACAATTTGAACTAGAATTACAACAACAATTAGAATTCCAACAAATGCAACAAATACAACAACAATTTCTACAATTAGAAATGAATGATTATGAATTTAGCGAAAATATTCCCTTCACCGGAACCCCGCCATACTAAATCAAGACGGATCAAAATACAAACAATTAATTTATTATATATAGCAATAAAAACATTTCATTTACATATCAATATATTCATATTTTTTTTCTTTGTTTTATAAATAATAATTATAATATATTAAATATACCAAGGAATATAATTTTAACATTTATTATTTATTGGAATTCTCGAATCAATTTTCCGCGTTAAAAAAAACGAATTACAAAGATTTTATAACCGAGTAGAACTGAATTACAAAGATTTTTGCCACGTTAGAAGAACTGAATTACAAAGATTTTTGCCACGTTAGAAGAACTGAATTACAAAGATTTTTGCCACGTTAGAAGAACTGAA